ACTGCTTTTTGGTCCTATGCTGTTTAATAGCGTGCGGACATATCAAGGGCTACTCTCAGTCGGCGCAGTAGGTAAACCTTTTGTTGGATGTTTCACTGTTTTACTTTGCAGACCGAGATGCGGCTCATGAAGATATTTTCCTCTTCCATTTGATTTTTGGGGATCCTGGTGAATTCACCACTAATCCACTAATTGCGCGCTCAACTCACCCTCGTTTGAACAGTCATCTCCCTGGCCCAGCGCAGTCATTCTGGGGATGTCACATCAAAGCGGGGGGGGGGGCAAGATGGCCCAAACGCGAATTTACTGACCGGAAGGGTTCGTGGTTTGAACCCTACCTGTACCTGTCGACTTCTCCTGTCTAGGCTTGGGCAACCTGGCAGTATCCCAGCCCCCGTTCAACCTTCGGGTGGCATGGCAGTTAAGTACTGAAAGGGGGAGCACTGGACTCTCGAACTCCGCCTTTATCAGAGGGCATCGACAGTACATATCCGAGTGTTACCACAGCTCCACCAGCGCACGCTTGAAGTATCTGAACTTTCATGTCTGAACAGGCGAACATGTTCGCGCTTGAGTAATGTGAGTGGTAAGCTTGGACGGCGACCCAGAAAATGACATCTTCCACTTCCTAGATTTTGGACCTGAACGACGTCGTGATGTTACACTGAAAAGATCGGTCTACCGAAAGCTTACATGTTCCGGGAAATACACGAACTTTAACAGCCTCGTGCCTCTAAAGCAGAAACGGAGTCTGAGCCGCAGCGTAACTAACAGAGTGAGAGAAAAAATACTTCGATGATGCGCTGACGCAAAAAAGTCCCAGCTCTCACCAATGTTCTGAGAGAGGACGGGTCAATACTGTCACCAGCAGAGCTGAAGGAAACCCGGTTTATATTAGCATTCTGTTTATTGACGATATACAAGCCGACCAACTGAACTGAAAAACTTCTACCAGTTTGAACAACGTTCTCCGGCCGCAAGACTCCGAACCTGGTTCACAAACAATCGCCTGTGCTCCTTTAGTCTCACAGGCAGAGTGTCTGTCCACGCCCAAAATATGTTAGTATACTCATTTTGTTGCTGTTGTGTAGCGGAATACATTGGACGCAGGACGAGGTAACACGGACAAAGAATGAAGGAATACAACCCATCCTGACTGGCGTCTGGAACTGGGAGGACGATAACCAGCTCAAGTATGCAACATCTAGCAGGCACGGTGCATGGCGTGATACTTAGGCAAAGTTTCCTTATAGTTTACAAGGTGCCTGCTAATCAGTCCAGGTTGGTGTATCACCGTGTTATTGTAGTGGTGGAAGCTATCGCCATACGACAGCACGTCGCTCCACTTAACCTCCCCCCACATACATCCTGTGCTGAACAAGCAAACACAGCACTGCCTGCACTGGCAAACTCAGGTCATCTTACTGGTGACTTGAACTTGTTGTTCCATGACAGATAACCAATGCCGTCCCTCACTCGACGTCCTGTTTCCTGCTCATTAACCTATGTTGACTACTGGCCTTTTAGCTTTTGACCTTGTCGAAAATGCGTTCGTTAACCCACCTTTGTTCTTATTCTAAATGGGAATTTTCGGAATATTGCGTACCAGTAACATGCCTTGGTTGTGTCGATCGATTAACCCGCCTGTCAGGGCTTCCCAGTCAGGTAGCGCCACGGACGTTTAAAACTTGCTGGACACTTTTTGTTTCAGGAGTGGGTGGTCGCGGGATTGTTCAGAATGCATGGGAAATATGATGCCCTGGGAAGTCCTGAATGGCGGGTCGATCGATATGTTGCCGGGTTCGAAGTGTCTGGCTTACCACTCACATGATTCAAGTGCCAACATGTTCACCTGTTCAGGTGCGAACATTCAGATGCGTCCAGTGTGCGCTGGTGGTAAAGTGTTAGCACGTTGACCTCGCATGTCAGATCTCCGGAGCTCAAGCTCCGACATGTACTGTTGGGGAGTTCTAATAAGACGGAAGTTTCAGTCCAGCGCTTCTTCCCTTTGATGTGGCCTCATTAGAATGACTGCGCCGGGACAGGAGGATGACTTTTCAGACGAGAGGTCCAAAAACCACTCACTGTAAACTCGCCACGAGAAGCCACTAGGGAAAGTACCAAATGTTCCGGGAGACATCGCTTGCTTGGACACGGTGCTATTACTCATTGCCCAACTTTCCAAAAGGTACACAATCTCAGCAAGTCGCAGGAAAAGGATGACTGGAGATATTATTTCATGACAGTTTCAAATATCATCCAAACTCCTGAATGAAACGGTGCTGTAGGAAAATCCAGGAAACTCACACATTCAAGCTGAGTGGAAAAGCTTTGGAAAAAGCGAGTTACACTTTACCTGGACCTAGAAGTACAAACTATTTACAATTTCTAGTTCATAATATCATAGTACTCCGTGTAAATGCCGTTTGTGTTTTTTCATGTCAGACTGCGCTCAAATGCCTTCTGAAGGTAACAACGGTCCTCTGGACCGTTGGTTTGCCGTCTGTTCAAATCTTACCACCAATTCGTGAGTCTGAGTTATCCGAACGATGATTCCAGTCTACAGGTTCACAGAACAACCGATCTCCTGATGAACATACAGTTCAAAATGGAAAAATGTTGCTTGTATTTTCAAAACATCAACCGTATTTTGTCTTCCCGTAGTGTCTCGCGGCTATAACGCCTCCGATGATCTCACCCATGCATACAGTGACAGACATACTGAACCAAATAGACTGATAATCTTCACCAAGTGGAGCTACTGAACTCATTTTACAAACTGCTACCAAGTTGTTTTAAATCTGATGAAACAGATGCGAGCAAACATAACTTCCACTTCCATTTCCTGTAATGATCTCATGTACCTAAACTCTGTCTACGGTTGTGTATGGCTGTCCCAACGGTAGCCGAATGTTATCATAGTATCTGGTCACCCTGGATGGATATCTTTGAAACAGAATAAATCCAAGCCAGTCCATGATCACTTTGTCCACTGTCCTCAAAAAGGACTTAGACAAGTAACTGTATCATTTATCCTAATGGGTACGACCTCAAGCGATGGTAAAATGTCACTACATGCATTATGGAATCAACTATCTCATTATACCAGTGACTGGCGGATCTTTATTACACTTCGGTTGCGTAAAACACATCCAGCACCGTCAACTGTGAACCGTATTCCTTGTCTTTTTCCGAGTACCGGAAACTGTGAGGTGAACAACAGGATGGAGTCCTCGTGACATCACTTGACTGGAGACATTCTAAGAAATGGTTGCCGGTCGATGTTTGCACTGCCAGTTCTTTTCAAGGCTGTCTGATTCGATGTTTGGCGTGCAGACAACTCAGCAGGTTCTTCCCTCATCAACTCTGGTCTCTCGTATTTCAAGACAGCCTAACAGGTGCCTGCATCGGGTCTACGACTCATTCTAATTCACTGCTCTCCAATAAACTGGCAACATTAAACTCACCATCTGATAGCTACTCATTATTTCTTCCTTCTGTATTTTAACCTCAGTCATGTTTGCATCCACTCCTCAATGTACACACAAATATTCACGGAACTACGTTTTTTCCGAACAAACAGAAGTATTCAATGCAACAAACCATGCATAGATCCTTTAGCATCACTCACGATTTGCATTTCTTTGCGGGCACTTTCAATCTCTTTGCGGTAACTGACGATCTCGACTTGCGCTTCTGTGTTTTGAATGGTGGACTGCTGTAAAGTGGAATATACGGATAAAGTCGCTCAAAGGAGTTAGGAGAACCATACAGAATATCCATTCAGAAACAGGACGCAAAACAGTGGCTTTCCTGTTGGTTAACCTCACCAAAAAGGGTTTTCTTTTTTGTACTGACTCCTGATATAAAACACATGTCATCCATATTCTGACTAGAAATGATGCAACTAGAAGAAACTCGCTTTCTCGACAGGAAGATATTATGAATGGTATTTTAAGTAGTATAATATCGCCCTGCACTAACGAACTGTTGTCCGAGTGACCCAAGCATCACCTAGGTGCATCATGCACATTCAAATAAAGTTGAGCTATCTGGCACAGAAAAGGCTCTAATTTTGGACAGGTGGGCACTCGAGATCTCACCTTTTCAGAATCAGGTTCCTTTTCCATCAGAGCACGCAAGGCATCGTTCATCTTGCGTGACTGATCGATACGGGACTTGAGGTCTGCAACTTGTTCCTCCTTGGCCTCCAAAAGTTCATCCTTTTCATCAAGCTGTGAAGAGAAATAATCGTGGTAACCATTCCAGTCAAACGAAATGTCTGTGCCATAACAAAAAAACTTGTAGATTGCCAAGTCAAGTTGTTGTTGGGTTTCATTTTTGTCGGAGAAAACCTTTCTGATGTTTTGAGTAGTGTTCAGATATTCTGTACCATTTGTGAGAATAACGAATGTGATGAAAGCTTGAATATGAGGTGTAGCGTTAAAAATAAGTAAGGATGTCCAATTTTCCAAGTTTGGCGGTTGTGATGTACTCATTGGCCTGCCTTTTTTCCCAAGTTATTTGCTCATGGACTTTCCATTTTAAAAGTATCCGAATCCTTTGTGATTTGTATCAACCTATTCTTAGCTTTCCTAATTTTACTGAGTTGAGGTGGCATGAACAACATTTTCTCACCTGTTTGTATTCAAATGTAATACCCATCCGGTGCCTAGCTGCCATGCTACCCGAAGGAAGCACGAGGGCTGGGATACTTCCAGGTTGCCAAAGTCTAGACAGGGGAAGTCGAGAGGTAGATGTCGGGTTCGAACCACAGACCTTCCAGTCAGTAAATTCGCGCTCTGCCAAGATTAACAGACAAACTTTTTCTCAAGTTGGTCCTTTGTCGGTTCTGTTCAGTGCCATTTACTCAGCTAATAGAGTAGTCCCTTATACAACTGATTTGTTGATCCACTAAAACAAGGCCTGATTCCACTGAAGTGGGCAAGTTGCCCCATCATTATGGAAACTCCTGGAGGGAAATGTCTTTCAAAGTATCGAATTTATGAAGGCGAGAGTTTTTTCCAGGACCGCGAAATCGTTCACTCTCTTATGAACTGACCCATGGTTTAGCCATAAGAATGACCAGTTCCTTTTTCCGATCGAGCCAACAGAGTGAGGAAATTCTTTGTGTTTCGACATTACTAATTAAGTATAAAAATTCCCCTTTAGGAAAACCCCCTCAGTGGAGAAGCTTCAGGGCAGAGAAAAGAACTGTCTTGACAGAACCTTTTGATTCTTCATTTGACAGAGCATCCTCTCCGGTGGGACAAGTTACTACAATTTATTGGTGTAAACGAGGCTTAACATGGACTGCTTTGATAAAAAAATTGTCCACGGATAAGCAGTATAGACTAAGCAGGCCATCAAAAAATCTACTGCTTGACAAATGAGTTAGGTATGGCAGCGAATTCGTGGCTTGATTCGGTTTCACTCAGCAAGGAACGTCTTCTCCTGACTTGGTTCACTTCGTCAGCATTCAGCGAACGAAAGTTAATTTCGATGGAAAATGGTCGATGCATTTAAAAACGAATGACAGACTAACCCCCTGGGCACACTGGCGAATTTTATGGGAATTATCGGAAAAGACGTTCCCACGTGACAGGACGAGTTCGGAGGTTAGCGTTAGTGATCTAGGGAAGAGGGAATACTATATGTCTCTACTGAGTTGACGATACAAACAACCACCTTGTGGACTGAACACAGAAGGCCTCAACTGCCTGCACATCAGTTTTCTTGTTAACGAAAAATAAGAAAGTTTTTGAGATTGCTCTTTGTTAGACTTTCGTACTACCGTCCGGAAAAAGCCGCAAACACAGACTCAAGATTTAGGCAATCACTTGTATCAACGTAGACAGTGGGGATAACTAGTGGACACTAGGCCTCCATCGCCTTTGCATCTCTGTTTGTTTCTCACCCGCATCACTTCAAAACTTTCGGTTTATGGCTCAGTGCACCTTAGTAACGACTGTTAGTTGAATTCAATTCACGACTATGGAGAGGCTGCATTCAGCCCTTGTTGTTCTGTTCTCCTCTCTGGTGGAATAACCGGGTATACTAAGTTTGCCTAATTCCTAGTCTGAAATAGATAGACTGACACCAGGGTAGGGATGTCACCGGAGTGTGGAGTGGGCTTTTTAAAAAATCAACCAGGTTCAATTGGACTGACATCGGTGGATCATCTACAGATCCGATCATTGGCTCGCTTAGTGGTAAACAGAGCAGAGTTGATTAGTTTAGGGACAAATCACAAAAAATAAGAGAGTATGAACCTGTCCAGTTGTCATTACTGCTGAGATCACAGTGAGGTTGTGCAGGCACACAAACACTCATGGTTATGTTGAATTTTGGTGTGCCTGGTCTCTGCGGAACACTTCGTCGGTCAGATGAAATCTTAGTGAGCGCTAATCACAAATTAGTTTGCAAATGGGTGTATTTCGCTAATTTCGTGCTATTTGGGTTCAACTAGAACATAAGGTTGACGGAAACTTGGGGACTGCGCCTACCTGATGAGCCTCAAAAAGGGCGAAACCGGTCGTGGGCTGTCGACGGATTTTCAGCAACCTTATGAGTAGTGCATTAAAGATATACATGTATCGCGATACCTCAAATATCGTAACGACTGAAACATGGGGCGGCCTGGGGCAGCACACTCAGTTGCCTGGAGACATCACAAACGAGAGATTCAGTTGGGTTCCAGGTCAGTCGCTCGAAAAGCTAAATTACTTTGCAAATGAGTGTAGTTCGCTAATCACATTGTTGTTCAGTGGCCAAACGATTGAATGTCCGAACACTGACTGGAAAGTTGCGGGTTCGAACCTCTAACTTTCGTGATATTTCAAGTGCTGATGATTCCCAATAAGAATGAATTAGCCAATGTACAGTGCTTTTCAGTTTTTTAGCACAATGTGGTTTCAGGATGAGATCTCAGATGGAAATCAGAATAGCCAGAATAATCAGAATAAGTTTGACTTCACAGCAGACCGTTTTGAGCGTGATAAGACAGACTGCAAGGCAAGCTAAAAATAGAAAAATCGAGTTCTACGGTAGTGCCTTTTCATTTTGAAAAGACCACAATATGGCCAGCCAGGGAGAATGTTCTCGGAACATTGGTTGTTTATACAACTAGCCCAGATGACAGAAACATATGGTCGCATGAATCTCCATTAGGTCGCCATTATTTAGACAAATCAATTCTGGCATGAAGTAAATGCCGAAATGAAGATGAGATTAGTTCACCTCGCCTAGTGTTAGGAAACTTTCTTCGATCACGCATTTGCTAGTTAATGTTATCTTTCTGGATGACGGTGATATCGTGTCGGGAAGCCAACACGTCACCGATCAAAGATGGACATGCTAATAGGAACCACCGTGTATACTCACTAAAAGTTTTCAACAAAAGTACGGCATATTACATGTAATCCTGTGTGTCCTAAACCTTGCCAAGGGTCTGAGTTGGGATAGTGATATGGCACTAGGATAACTCTGAAGTTATCTTGCGATTGGCGAATGCGGTTAATTTTATTTTTGGAGGTGGAACCTTACCCTACTCACTTGCTTCGAAGACTACCTTTAGGAATTGCAGGCCGCCTCTTCTCCTGATTCAGGAATCACTCGATGTAGTTGCAGTCCAACTTTGTTTTAAATGCGCTGTGATCTCGGCACACTCCAAGTGATCGTAGCACAGAACGAACAGAATCCTTTTCCAAAAATCCATAAACCAGCTGTCCTGGTGTGACCGATAGTAGACGGAATAGGTTCCATACCGCATGAACTGGCCAGATTCTTGGCCGGTATTTTAAAAACCCTCACCGGGAAATCTGTTACTTACATTCGGAATTCATATGACTTCGCCAACAAAGTAGTAGGTGTCACTTTTGAACCATATGACATCCTTGTAAGTTTCGATGTGAATTCATTATATACAAATGTGCCACAACAACAACAACAACAACAACAACAACAACAACAACAACAACAACAACAACAACAACAACAACAACAACAACAACAACAACAACAACAACAACAACAACAACAACATCATCATCATCGCCATTACCATCATCAAAAGCGAAACGTTGCCCAAATAAAAACTACCTATTGTTTACCAAGCTCTTCTGAAATGATGACTTCTCAATCGGTTCCAGACCCTTTCCAATTGATTGAGAATCATGCCAACTTCCCTGAAAGTTTTCACCAAGCTCCAGCTCCCTTGCAGTATAGTCTTAGAAACGACTTTTGACTGCATGAAACTAACATGAATGTGAATTTGACAGTCCACTGAGTGCTTAAAAAACAATCAACCTGAAACTATTCCTTTGTATCACACGTTTCAGGCGGTTGAAAATCACTACACAGACTGGGAACATCCAATGCTTCCCAAAACCCGACGATGTATGACGTCTCATGTTGTCGTTGGTTTGAGGTCATCCACATCTTTCGAGCGGTACGGCTGGCGTTGGTTAGACTTCAGTTTGGAACATGGAGCCTGATGTTGAAGGTGAGAACTGAGCTAAAAAGTTATACCGTTTCTAAGTTCACTTGGAACCAATATATTGTGCGTCAGCGGGAACTTAAATTATCCCAAGAGACGCACATCAATTGATCCATCCTAGGGCGGGTAATGATCTTCAATCTTTGACAAGTACATCAATCCCAGCTGAGGTTTAAATGGATATATGGCACCAGGCCACGTCATGTTTCGATATCGTAATATATAGAGTAAACGCAACACACCACTCATAGGGTTACTGAAAACTGTTCAGCAGCCCACGCCGGTTTCGCCTCTTGGGGTTAAGCAGATTGGCGCAGTCAATGAGTTTTCATCAACATTATGCCCAAATTAAACCTAGATTGCACGAAATTGGACAAAGACACATTTGCATTCAACATTCTTTTCAAGGGTGATTCATCCGAATCCCATCCAAGTCTGTCGTTTATGATGTTATCCCTGATGGTCTTTTTGATGAGCTCTAAGAAAAATGAAACGTGTCGTGGGTTATCGAAGAGTTTTCAGCAACCCTATGAATAGTCTGTGAAGTCTACACATCATTGAACCTTCTCCAGCCGAACGCTAGATGACAAAAAAAGATACAAATGGCACTCAGAATGAATACTGCTGCATAGTTTGTCAGATTCAATTGGTTATCCTAACAAAAGCACAGGTTTTCCACTGACATCGGTGAGTCCTATCCCGGGTGGCTGTCGTGGACTCCTTTTAATAATTTCGCATCAAAACGCATTTCCGAAAGCATTGACTTCGTCAGTTTTGGGTTTTCGTGTGCAGCCGCAGTGGCAAAGCCACCTTCAGACGTCCTCTCATGAATTTAGCGCTGGAGTTTCCAATTCTTCCGACTACCACTGAAAAGAGAAAAGCCCTTCGCCGTGGAGTTGTTCACTTGGAAACACCAAGTAAACAGTTACAGACTATTGGACAAGAGAGTAAAACTTCCATGTGCACCTTGTTTTTAAAAACTAAATATCCGTTTTCTTCTTGAACGCTTCTGGATATTCATTGACTATCACGCAATCGTAAACAAATACTGCGAAGCAGTTCCATAACTTCCTTAATGAATCACACCTTGCTTTTGATCAAGGTGGAGTTACGAGAAAACTACATACTACTCGCATGCCTCATCAGTAGTATCCACCGTTACACCATCACTACCCTTCAGAAACACGCATGCCTGACCCTCAGAATATTTCTAAAAAATTCTGCATCCACAATGAGGAAATCCATTAGTTCAGCTCCCATAACATTTCCTGCGGCAACTTTGGTTGGAATGCACTTTTCGACTGTCTCCCACACAGCCTAGTTTGTCTTTCAAATGAGGAAACAGTATCTGAACCAAATAACGACAGTTCCTTTGCTGTCAAAAATCGGTTATCCACCAACTGCACCGCTTTTGTCCGGTATCCTGTCGCCAATTTGCACTTCTTTGTGCTTTCGTTTTCGGCTATCGGTCGATAAATTGGCCGGATGGCGGCTTATCTAACGGTCCACGTCGTCTTATCGACTTTCTATTCCTTTTCCGCCAACAACCGGTCGTATCATTTGTGTTAGGCCAGGTGTCCTCATTCTCTTTCATCTGGTTCGGCTTTTATCAAATTTCTAAAACGGAGAATGGTTTACTGCTCCTTCGCGGTCAAAACATGGGTTGAAGGTAAGGCAAATCTAAGAGCTGACCACAACGACAGCACGGATGACAAGTGACGGTGAAACCCTTAAAAGCGTACGCAGGTTACAGGTCAGTCGCCTGTACAGATTCATATTTTCACAACTTTCAGCTAGACGGAGAGGTTGGGAAGACTTTAAGACTCCTTGAGAGTGTCCATATTAATGGGAGCGATTATTTTCCCTTACGCCCTTTGGTACCCGGCGAATTTTCTATTGGTCGAGGGCCCGTTTGCAAAAATTTTGCCTCTGTCGTATCACCATTATCACCCACTGTCGCAGTTCATCGGATTATTATAAGCGACTGTTGTTCCTCAAACTTTGCGGACGAAAACAGTAGCACGTCAGTATGAAAGCGTGAAATAAGAAAAAAACAAGGTTAGATTTCGAGAATTCAAGTGTCCAGCACCAGAAGCTGCGTTGGTTGGGACGTGTGTTGCGTATACCTAGTCATTACCAGAAGCTGCGGGTGCTGTTTTCCATGCCCAACTCAGAGTGCCGTAAACAGAGAGGTGGACAACCCTTGACTTGGCAGAGGAGTACAAAGGAGATCACGAAACGTTTGGGCCTTCCAGGATGGGGACCGCGTGATCCTCACTGTGCCTGGTTGGAGACACTACAAGATATGGCTGCCAACCGATGTCAGTGGCGTTCTTGTTGTCAGTTTCTATCCAGATCGCCTGAGTGAATGTCTGGAGGTAAAGGCACCTCGGAGTGATTGTGGTAAGCTAGCACTAAGTCTCTTCCCTTTCCACCTTACTCTTTTCTTTACAATAAGGCTTTCAAATAAATCATGGTTGTACGGCACTGAAGCATTGGTGTTGAACACTGATGTCGTGCTGTTGATGATGATAATGATGAGCTTTCATTCTGTTCAACCCAGAACTTCGAAGAAAACCAACATGTACAACTACCTCGCTCCAACCAACGTGTTTAAGGAACACATTTTTGTTGTGTGCCGACTGCCCAACCCTACATGCGACGGAAGTAAAAGATCACTTTAACGATCTGCCTCTTATCAGGATGGCTTGCCAGCGAGCACTAATAATGCAAAACTTCATCGCTTTTGCCTTGTATTATTTGTTGCATTGTGGTTTAAGCCATCTAGAACGATCAGACGGCTGATTTTTCTTGATGTTGAGCCACTGGTCACCTGACTAGCACTAACTTTTAGCTGTTCTGACCGAAACAGTCCTAAACCTGGTTTGTTCTGAGAAGTGGCACCTTCTGGGCAGTTTAATTTTTCGCTGTTTCATTTTGGGGGAGGGGACACCTCACTGGAGGGGATAACCAAGGGCTTTTCCTAGGCAACTAGAAATCATGACTGTGTATAAAATTCTACTCACCTCTTTCTTGAGCAATTCCAACTGTTTGGACTTCAGTTGCGACTCGGAGATAGAAGCCTGTGCAGTACTCTCCTTCACTGCTTTCTGTAGTTGAGTCTCTGCTGATTCACTTCGACATTTTTCTTCCTTCAACATTCGCTCCAAGCATAAAATCCTGGATCGGAGTTGACGCTAAAAAAGAATATATGTTCAAAGTTTATGACAATCCACTCGTTTTATGAATAACAAGCAGTGAAGCGGTCTGTCTTCTGAAGCACTGCCTTGGAAATTGTTGGAGGCTTTCTGAAAAGTTTCATTCATGGTCAGTTATAAGGTTATTCTACTTTAAAGTATGGCCAAGTTCGTAATTGCAAGTACCCACGGCATTGTTCAGTCGGCCGCTAGTTCAGTCTGCGTTTGGAACGACATCGCGCAAGCAGTCCAACGGTTGGAGCCAGATCACAACATTCTGATTCCGGTGTGCTCGTTTAATGGTCTTTATAGACCGTAATTTCATTCATCTTGGTAAATATACGTTTACTGCGCTATGAGACATGCTCAAAACTGCAGTATCTCTTCCAGTGTACGGTTGAATTTAGTCTTTGTTCGCCCCTCAATCAGTAGGAGTGCTCACCGATATACCAAGGTTCACTCAGAACCTATCAGCAGAGACAGAGTACATGTGTCCTGTTTCATTCAGTCAGGTGATTTCCCCTATCCAGTTACAAGTCTCACTCCCAGTTCACTCCCAGTTCACTCCTAGTTCCGTAGACGATGGCTCGGAAAGCTTGCTTCTACCTTCCAGCAAAGTCTTTGTGGATGAGTAAACCTGAGCTTTAATGTGCCACCGTCTTTAATGTACACCGTCTTTATATTACTTTTTGTCAACACATTTGGTGTGAGAATGACACTGGAAAGTAGCGTACAAAGTTATCGGACAAAGTTAGTTTCCTCTTGGCGAAAACATCATAGTCGAAACCCGATACATTGCTGTCAAAAAAAGTCCGCACCAGCCTTGAGGCTGTCTTGGTCATGTGACATGGATCAATCAATACAGTAACACACCGGTCCTTTAAACCACTTTACGCCATTCAGTTGGGAAAGTTTTGTGTTTTCATGACAATCGCTCGTCCGTGCCTGATCCTTTGTAGTTTGACAACCAAGAGTAGCTGTTTTTTCTTCATTATCTACCTTCATTTTGGCCATTGAGTATGTACTGACCTGACGACAACGTCCCCAGAGTACTAATACCCCTTACTCTACCTTATTGTTCAAACTAGCGGCATAGTGAGACATCGCACAACAATCGACCCATCGCTATGCTCCGCCACGCCCCCTGACAAAGTACTGATGATGTCACCTCGATTGGGGAATGAAACGTTTGCAAACAAATTTCCCAGCGCACCGAACAAACCAACGACCAGACATTACAAATTTAGTTGGAACTGGACATAAATCATGTGCACGTTGAGATGTAACGCAAGTGAAGTGGTACACGGGCTAATGGGTTATGGTGTAAAACGGATGACGTCACAGTCAAATTTAATCATGGGGACAAAAATGGTTAGGAGGCTAGCACCTGTTCAAAGTCTTCATTCAGAATGCTATCGGAAGATACACAAGGTGGTTGTGGATTTCAGTCGGCCATCCCGAACTACACAAAACCGAATCTAACGTGTTGTTTCAAACAAAATTGCTAACTTGTGCTCTGCAACACAGAGACTGGGATTTCGTAAAGCTACGACCGAGTAGCTGTTGATAACGGGATGGAAATTTTCTCCCGACGTATACTGCTACTAACGGAGAGAAAGATGAAGTATTTGTGAAAAGATGCATAAATACCGAGGAAGGTGAAAGTCAACGTTGTTTACCTCTATGTCATTCTTGTTTCCCTCAGTCTGCTCGCCGAAAACGTCATCACTCCCCATGCTGGCTGTACTGATTCCACTCGCTTGACTGGCTTCCATAAACTCTTCCGGGGGTCTAGGATTCAGCAGTCTGAAATCCAGCAAGAGGGTGGTAAGGAAAGGGATGATAGGAAGCAACAGTTGAACGAGAAACTAAACGAAGTAATTCGCTGCCCAGTTACATTCAGCTGGAAATTATCCCGTCAGTTTAGTCTGACTACTCTATGCCTTCGAATATTTCACCGTACGGGTCGTAGAGCAGTGTAACAACTTCTAGGGTGAGCTATCAACCCTAGTGCATTGTATGTTGGAACGTTTTCTCAGATTTTGTCCAAGCTATCTTAGTGATCAAGTTTGTAATGAATAGATGTGGTATTTTTAAACGTTTTTATATAGGTCCTAGAGGAAATGGCCGTATTTTTTCAACGCTAGAAACTGTTTTTCCATGAATTAAGGTTCCCGTCGTGTTATAAGGACCTTCATTGTTGTAGATATTTTATAAGCCTTTGATTTTAATGAACATGGCTTCTGTTGGAAAGGTAGTCCGCGCTGGAAGGCCAAGTGCTGAGTAGGAATTAATCACACTGCTGACCGGTTGCTCGTGGAAGAACTGTTAACCTGGTGCTTTTTCGCTTTCCAGTATTTACCAGACGAACTCTCCAATAAAATTCCCAAATCGCATTGCAATGATAACAATCTATAAGTAGCTGAAAGGAAGAATAGATTGCACCCGATGACTGAAACTTTCAGCAGAGAATTCGTCACTCGAGGAGCAAGTCATCACTTCCAACTAGGTGATGTGGGTCCCATGACTGAAGGGTGAGCAGTGCTGTAACAGCTGATCAGGTACTCACGGTCGAACAGTTTAGTGTTCAGTCTACTAGCCGGGAGGTTGCCGGTGCGAAAACCCGTGGAGTTTCGTGCAATGTCCACAGCTGGTTATTCCCAATAAGGATGAGACAGCTGAACAGTACTTCTCAGCTGTTTAGCATAAATTGGTCTAACTTAGTGGGCAGAATTTCCATCAAAGTTCCCAGATATCCTTATATCCTTAATGCCCTTGATTTCGTACTACCGGTTTATGTTTTGCGCGCACTTTCTCTGCCTTATCATGTTGAATTTAGCATTTATGCTTTAATTCACATCGACTTTACGGAATGAACAGACCAGACAAACGAAGTCTCCAGAAAGCGCTTCAGCTGTCCCAGACCCGTCGCCAAACACCCGATCAGCAACTGTCAACCAGGCTGTCACGTGACTGATGGCATTTGTACCCCGAATCGATGGTACTCAGTCGGAATTAGAAGCATCGTTCGACTTTTAAGGAACCGGACATACTTATAGCTGTGGTCGTTCTTTGCCTGCCAGCGCTTGTGTTAGCCACACAAAAATCCCGAAAACAGTCCAGGTGGAACTCGTCCACTGACCTCTTGCCATGATTGACCTTAAATAGAAATTCAAACAGCGCAAAATGAACTGGAAAGGAAGATCATGATTGCTCAACGTGGGAGAGTGCTTTTCTTCGGACTAACAATATCAAATATCGTAGCGACTGAAACATGAGGCGGCCTGGCGCAGTACATCCAGTTGCCTGAGAACATCACAAACGAGAGATTCAGCTGGGTTCCAGGTGAGTCTCGTGAAGAAAACCGAAATTGTTCGCAACCGAGTGTAGTTCGCTAATGGCACACATTCGGTAGACCTCGTCACTCGCAATAAGCTTTACAAGTGAATAGGGGGAGTTTAACATTCAAATTATGACATAGGTATTATATAACTGGATCGCCCAGACCAGTATGACCTTAGATCTGCTTTAAAGGGTCTGCATGCCACCTATTGTCGTTGTTAAGAGCGTTTTAAGTTGTACTAAACTGCACGGAATCGCCCTGCTTACACCTGTTCGCTGAGTACGTAAGTCTTGAACTACAGACTAGCTGAGGGCATATGTCATTCGCGGTATTCAATTTTCCGCCTTCCGGGCATCCCCAAGACGCGTTGGTCGAGTCCTGACGATCATCCAACCGCTTTGTAAACTACTTGTATCGCCTTGCTTTGTGTACTGAAAGATTTCTGTGACTTTAACTCCCAGCAGTGTCGGTCATCGATCCAGCTGACTGACATTCTCTAGTAATGGCATGGACTCTGTGAAGCACAATTCCCCTTAGGACTTAGACGAACAAAATCAGTTTAGTTGCAAACTCGACCATGTGATCTGAGTAGTGACGAACCAAATTGTTAGGATACCAACCTTAATTTTAGGGAATTCGAGATATATATATACATCCAGGCAGTTGCTCCATTCTCCGTTTGCTGAATGACTATGAATCCATTGTAAAAGATGTAGCCCTGATTCAAATCAACCTCTAAACCTGATGAAACTCTGTATGTAACGAGGTAAGTTGGTCGCGCATATAACAGATTGACCGAAATTCCACGTCACGGTGTATGTGTCTGGATTTCGGCATCACTTCTGATTGCACTGGTGCACGCTGATTCATCCAGCTGTCCGGATACGTACTCCAGTATGTCTGCCATTTTGAACGCCGTGGATAAATATATGCATTACCAAACGTACGCTATTATTCACATGTATGCGAGAAAACAAGTTTTCCCTTGGCAAATATACACTCATTTGCAAACTAATTTTGTTTTTCGAGAGACTCACCTGGAACCCAGATGAATCTCTCGTTTGTGA